GTAACTTTATTATGGCTCATACTTGAGTAAAGAAGAAATTGCTTTCTCAGATCCTACTCCTGATGGAAAACTGTTTGCAACACAGTACTGTGGCACTGGTCAGTTTCTGGTATATAATTTTATTAATGGACAAAACAGCACCTAAAATAAATTCATGCCTGCAGTCCAGAAGACATCTACTGAAGAGAATGGATTGGTTGCTGACTTTAACCAGGAACTAGGGCCATTTTTATTACAATGAACTCAGGACTGGCAACAACTGTTAGGTTGTTCCATTTTCATAAAATTGGAAAAAATGCAGTAATTGCTTATTGTTGTTTTGTTTTTTAAAGAAGATATTTTATTATCTTTTACAGAAATTTATGATTGATGTATTTTATCTATAGTTATTTAGACATGTTTACATGCAGCAGATAATTGTTCATAGTGGACTGAAACTAATGCAAGGACTATGGTCTCAGTGATAAGTATATTTTGAAGTTCTTAATTATGGAAATATACCAGTGTAGCTTGGTACTGTATTTTTTTATATTGATCTGCTGATACCAGTTATAGTTTTAAAGATTGTATTTTCACAGAGTGGAAACCAGTGTTTTTGCATTATTACTCAAGGAGGGTGTGATGTTACCTGTTTAGGAACTCAAAGCTAATTCTTAAAGGGTCTGGTATATAATTTAAAAGAATCCTCACAAAAAAGCAAAGCCGAACTTTTTCTTCCATTTCTCTCTTCCCGCTTCTTGACAGCAGCAAAAAGTGGAAGGTGGAAAAGAATTGAGGCTTTCATTCTTGGAGAGCTGTTAGTGACTAGAATTAGAACGGTACCCTCTAGTTTATTTATTCTTTCATTCTGGTTTCACTTTTTAAAATAAATGGCAACTGGCACACTTCGGCTATTAACAGTCCCAAAGAGATTTATGAAAACCTGTGGAATAGTTACAAGCTAAATATGGAGGACTTGGTATCTGCTTCGTTACTCCTCAGAAATACTACACTGGGTATATGCCCTCATTATTGGACTTCATTTTGATACTTGTCTATCCTTCATAGTGCCCTCTACTTTTAAAGGGTTTATATGTTGAAAAACTGCTGTGGCCTTTTATGACCTGTATATAATGTAGAATAAAATAATAAAATACTTGATAGCTTTTTCTAAGTGATAAATGTGATAATGGTGTATTATTATTGTGCTTTTTCAGGAAGTTTGTTAGTTTTGATACCTTGAAATAGGATTAAAACACTGGCTTCTTAAAAGGTAGTTTTCACCAGTTTGCCATAGGATAGGTTATGTCAGTAACATCTCCAAAAGACAAGATCCCAACATGAGAATTTTCTGCTCTTTCAAAGAAATAAAGAGCCATGGCCCAAGAATGAAGCACCACTGTGATTTAACATAGATTAATTTTATGAGCTGAAATTAAAACCAGCTAAAAATTAGGGCTTTTAAACTATGATTAACAGACAGGTATATATTTTATCACCCTTAGATGTGTGCTTTTAAAATTAATAGAGTGGTGTAAGGCTCTGTAGTCTTTATAGGGTGGAGTGGTAAGGCAGTGTAAATATTTCCCTCTGATTCATCATGATGGTCCAACTCTCAACACTGCTTTTCTCTTTGGGCTTGAGACTGTTCTAGTTATCCCTGGTCTCAATGTTTGCCTGACAGGGACTGTAATTTTTTAAAAACAGGATGAAATTTTCAGGTGTAGTGTAGATGTCCTAGTAACTGTTAATCTCATAATACAGGCGCAATTTCCATATAAGCAATAGTATGCTTCTTTGGGGAGCCAAACTTGGTGGTTTCAAGGTGACTTGGAAGTAGAGAGGCTATATTTATTGGTTGGTTTAAAGGTTACCATTACTAGGAAAACGGTTTTTCATGTTTGTATTAAAGACACAGCCCCTCAAATAAGTTTTACAATCTAGCTGTTTCTCTAAGAACAGAATTATTAATAATATTTAACATTTGAATGTTTGCCATGTGTCATACCTTGTGTTTAGTGATGCATTATTTTATTTAATTATCATGACAACCCCATGAGGTAGAGTTTACAAGTGAGGAATCCAGAACTTAGACGATAATTAAGAGCTTACAGTAGCAGTCTTTGTGAAAGATGCTGAAAACTGAACTAAACCTATGATGTGTGGGTGAAGATGAGGAGACAGATGAACTCTGAGGAGATAAAACTGAAGAATTGATAGAGTTGATAACTAACCAGAGAAGGATCATGACAGGAGAATCTAGGGTAATTTTCATTTGGGTAATTGACTGAGAAGGGCATACTGGAGAATTAGGTTGGCAAGATTAGATGGGGAAGGATGAGCTCAGTTTTGCTCACAATTTTAAGGTGGTTGCAGAATCTCCAAGTGGAAATATCTATTTGGTATATAACTGAACATGTAGATCTAGAGTTTGGGAAAAGTTTGAACTAAGCAGATTTATTTAGTTATTTGAAGGTTTAGAAGAGATCGCCACCCTGAGGTTTATGAAATGAGAGGGTAGGAGAGAGTATTGAGGAACACCTGAGGATGCACGTGCAAGGGAAGAACCATAAGAGAGTGGTAGAAACCAAGACTCAAAGAACGGTCGACACTGTCACACCACAGTTGAAGGCTGAAGAGTGATGATAGAAGAACAGTCTCTGTGGAGTGGTGGAGGCCCTGGTGGACACAGTGAGTAAACACTAATGGCCACAGACATCAAAACAGGTTGATTCTGTAATTGCTGATTATATAAAGGCGCCTGTAAATTTTTTCTCAGCTACCCTTGAATAGTTGTTGGTCCATTATAAAAATGTCTAGTGTATGGACATTATAGGAACCACCAGTATAGACAGGAACCGTGAACTCTTAGGGGTTATGCCCTTGTCTGCATGGACGTACAATGGTTTTATTTCATTCTGTAAGCATTATAAAAATCAGTATTTTATCAGTTCGTAACATGCAAGAGTGCATTTGGTATATCTACTAAAAGCATGTATCGTAAGAACAGTAAGTACAGTAGACATGCAGTGATACTTTAAACTTTTTTAAATTAATTATTTTATTTTTGGCTGCATTGGGTCTTCGTTTCTGTGCGAGGGCTTTCTCTAGTTGTGGCAAGCGGGGGCCACTCTTCATCACGGTGCCTGGGCCTCTCACTATCGCGGCCTCTCTTTTTGCAGAGCACAGGCTCCAGACGCGCAGGCTCAGTGGTTGTGGCTCACGGGCCCAGTTGCTCCGCGGCCTGCGGGATCCTCCCAGACCGGGGCTCGAACCTGTGTCCCCTGCATTAGCAGGCAGATTCTCAACCACCAGGGAAGCCCCACATGCAGTGATATTTTAATTGTTGCTTACTTTGCATGGCGGCCCAGCTAGGGCATCTGGGTAGGAACACGGCCACATTCCTGCCTAGTTGTAGTTCATCGGCAGTTAAGATGGCTGAATTGATTTCTGGGATAGCGACTGCAGGCATACATATACCTTCTACCTGTTCTCATGGCTCTTGGGCCTTCTGGCAGATAAAGGGAAGATTCGGTCTTATAACAACAAAGAAGTGGTTAGAAAACTTTTTTTCCTTATTTTATTATTCCACCTGCTGTCATAATCACTGAAGCACAGTTGACCCTTGAACAACATGGGGGTTACCCCACACAGTTGAAAATCAGGTATAACTTTACAGTCGGCTCTTCATATCAGCGGTTTGCATCTGTAGACTTAGCCAACCATGGATTGTGTAGTATCATAGTACATATTTTTTTGGAAAAAATTTGTGTATAAGTAGACCCATGCAGTTCAAGCCTGTGTTGCTGAAGGGTCAACCGTAGATGCTTTCCTTAGCTTACTACTTGACAGTTAAGACATAAGGAATTTATAGTTTGAATGGCTGTTTCCTTGGCCTCAGAAGTTCTTCCTGAAGTCATCTTTAGTGATGATTTTTTTGTTTCTTTTTTGGGTTTTTGCTTTTTTCAGGGAAGCCAGTATTTGATTGTTTTATCAGTTTTCTCTTAGACTCAGAGGAAGCTTATGGGCCAGTTGCCATGACTGAAGGCAAGCCTGAGGAATGTTTGTTCCCTGATGTTGTTCAGCTCTACGTAGTTGAATACAAAGGTACAGCAGTCAGAGTTTCACAGCTGTTAGTCTTTCTAAGGCAGCTGCTTTGGAGCCTTGATCCTGAATCTGTCATCATACTTAAAATAGTTATTGCCCCTCCTGAGGTAACAGCCAGGGGCCTCTGGCCCTGAAGAATGCTTTTATGGTTCTATATCAGTCTATTATTTTAGCACTCTTGATAATAATAGAACTGAAAGGCATTTCTTTTCCCCTGGAATAATAAGTTAACTCTCAAAAGTTGGTGAAATAACACCTTAGGGTTATACTGCACAGTTCTACCAACCCAAAGTCTGCTTCTCAGGACACGAAAGTGAGTATAGTTGCCATCTGTAAAATAAAAGATTGGGGATGTACCATGAATATTTCTAACATCTCTTTAATAATCATTTCTAGATCTGTTATTCATAATTGTGGCACTCTGCAAATGGGCATGGTATGTAGATACCTTATACGTGTGTATCTTCTTTGGATAAGCTACGGATTTTCAGTGAACAAATATTTACTTTCTTGGACTGTTATGCCAGAAGAGTATCTTAGAGTCATCCAACCTATGACGTGGACTTCTAGCCTTTCTTGGACATTGCCGTAGTCAGCTTATTCCATTTTTGAACATAACCAGAACATGTAAAGAAAACAAACTTTCTCTTTGGGGGGGTGGGAGAGAATTTTAATACATTCACCAAATTAAAGGACAAGAACATACTGTAGACACAACTTAAGACAATTTAGAATCAAACAAAATGTGAGGTAGACTGACTAGTGAAATTCACCAAATTTTGGTTAAGAAAATTTTACAGTAATAAAGTAACACAGGTGCCTCCTTTTCTAAAAATCACAAAAAGCATTTGCATAAATTACAGCCAAAAAAATTGAATACAACAATTCTCATTGTAATTTTAGTTTACATTCAGTATTAACCTGTGTGAACTGTCAATATGTGGCAAGGTTCAACAGGTCTATAGGTCAGTTATTATGCAGGCCTAGTGAACACATTCACACCACAATATTCTTAAGGGATGGCAAGGCTCGAAGTGGAACACACCAAGGTACATATTAACCAATCATGGTGTCCTGTGCTTGTGCAATTTTATCCTTGCAGGAGAATGACCTAACATTCTCTAAAGAATTATACTGATAAGGTGATTTTAAAAGATCCAAACCTTAGTAAGATAGATAGGCATTGAAAAGAATAGGCAGGTCAATTTGAATTCTCCATCACTGGGGTGATGGGCTTTTGGCTTTATTCTGGCATTTCTCTTCCCCAGAGTTAAATAGTATTTAAGAGATCATAATCATTTGATTTTTCAGAGTGCAGCCCTAACTAATATGGGGTCCCCTCAGGTCAAGTAACTACTTTAAAAAATTTTCCTTTCCTTAGACTATGAAGCCATAAAGCCTGAAGAAACCCTGAGAGGCCATCTGCCCCAGGTACAATTGTTTTAGGATTATTTATTTCAAGTATTTTATTTGCCCTATATAGTAAGTATTTTTGGAATATTGCACAAATAGTTGGTTTCTTGATATCATCTGCGTTAGGCCCTTTCAACAAAACAGGAACAACTGAAATACATTCATATCTAAATCAGCCTGCCTCAGAACGTACCTCTTTGCCAAAAATTCTGCTGTACTAAAATTGAGTATTTTTAAAGCATCTATAAGGCAGGTCCTCTTTCAAGGTCAGTTAAAAATGGAGTTTAAAGGAATCGTTCATTTCAAGAGACATTTAAACCATCATAAGTAGCTATATTAAAACCAAGAGATCTGAAACCATTTTCAGATTAGTACATGCCATCTTTTCACTAGCTGTAAACTCCTTGTTATCACAAACTAATAAAGCTGGTCAGTTAACACTATTTGTTCTAAGTAAATGCAGGCTTCAGGCCATAAATATGACATCGATTCAAGTTAAAAATGGCCATTTAAAGTGGGAATAAAGTGGTACATACGGGCTAATGAGAAAAATGTCACGAGATTGTTTAATGATGAGAAGTGGAGTAATTTAAGAGTAAGCTTCCAAAAGACCTAGTTTGTTCTAGAACATTTTCTAAAAATCTGTTTTTGATTAAAATATGTGGTAAAAAATCTGTAGAAACTTATGCCTCCTACTGTTGATACTGAACAGAGACCCCCTGTTGATTTTAATGAGTCGAAGAGACTTAATGGCATCTTCTTTAACACACGCACACCCCACTGGCAGGGTTAAGTAAAACAGCCTCTCTTTCTACGGCTCTGTTTCCCATTTCAGCAATTTCTGTGGTGGTGTCAGTATAAGGCAGCTAATATTCATTCAGTGTATCTTTTAAAGGAAACTTTGCTTTAGTCTTTGAGAGGAAAGAAACTAGTTCCACTTCACACAGAAGCTAAGCCTGCCTGACATTTAGCTTTGCTGGTGCCAATTGCTAAATTCCAACCACACAGGGTCAGTGTGGGGTGACTGCTGAAAGCTTCTGAATTGGCTCAGCTACTGAATCAGGCTCTCCTTGTGTAAGATTAATCACTGTTCATATTCTCACAGGTGTGCTTAAGAGACTGAAAACAAAGAATGGATAAAGCAAAAGAACTTAAGCCAGGAGAAGCTGCATGAATACACACAATGCTCTGCATTTACTAATTTGTTCAGTTTAAATAGTAAACTTTTAACTCCTGTGGAAATTTTGCCAAAAGTTTCAATACATACAAGATTATAAATCTTAAACTAACACTGCACAGAGACAAAGACTACTTTTTTTTTTTTTAAATACAAATATCTTCTACATTCTATCATTTCAGACCCCTGAGTAATACTGTACCAAAGTACAGATCTGAAGAGAAACTGAGGGTTCAGGCCTCAAACGTTAATCTTCAATTAATTCCACACCAACGGTGTGAGTCTCACGTAACACATTCAGGCTAGCTAACGCTGAGTCAGTTTCCACCCCCCACCCCACCCAACTCCTCCCAAGAAAGGGTTTGGGTTCCTCCCCAAAAGTACTGAATTAGGTCAAAGCTGATGTTCCTTAAACCCCCCCCCCCCCCCCCGCCGGACACAGCATAGTAAAAAAAAACAATGCAGACTCCCTGTGGCCTCTCCAAAGCATAATCCTCCTCAGCCTCCCGTGGGCAGACCACATCTTAAGTAACTGCATAACTACCTAGGGTGGAGTTAACCTGAATTTAAGTCCTGAAATTGGAACTGAAGGAGCGTGATGCCCCCCAAGGATCTAGGTCAGATTTGGGGGGTTCTTTGGAGAAGAGACAAATATGTTGCACTTGGCTCCACAGTGATTGTACTTTAAAGGAAACAAAAAATCCCTAATAATCATTACTGCCCCACCCCACCTAGGCATCCCTTTGCTGGTTTTGGTCTCTTCTAAAGCTCATACGTGACGTCCGGTAAGAAAGTAAAGGGGCTTGTCATCGGCGCTGTTAGCAGTTTGAAACTCGTCCCGGAGGCGGAACTGCCACTCGTCCTCTAGCTCTAAGCGCACAATCGTTTGGCGTAAGGAACTTCGGTCTTGGCAAATGACACACAGAGTAGCACCTTCAGGAAGAAAGCAGAAGTGTGTCTTAGGCTCAGGGATTGAAATGATGAAGAATCTTACCACCTCCCTCTGATTATATCCCCTAAACTAACACATGTGAGAACCAACATACAAAGTAACCTATGAGATTTGTTCATTGTACTATTTATTTTGAATAGTTATTACAAATTCAAAAGTTTAAAGGAGTGTAAAGTAAAAGCCCTCCTAACCACATCCCCCCTTCCCCTATAGTAACCAGTGTTAAAACCCACGTCCTAACGTTGTCCTAATGTGTCCCTGTAGAGCAGGTGTTCTCAACCTCGGCACTGTGGGCCGGACAGTTCTACTGTGGGAGCTGTCTTGCTCTTGTAGGATGTTTAGCAGCGTCCTTGGCTTCTACCCACTCTGTGCCAGCAGCACCCCGCCCTGTGACAACGTAAAATGTCTCCAGATATTGCCGAGCGTCCCCTGGGACGCTCCCTCCCACCCCCAACGCACACGCACAGCTCCATATGTATTTTACACACATAGAAGTAAATACAGTTTCTCCTGTTCTCATAAAAATGGTAGCATGCTGTACACAGCATGATGAACCTTACTTTTTTTCACCGGCCTCAGAGGTCATCTTGTCAGGATTATTTGTGATGCTTAATCTGCAGTTTGTTCTTAGGCAAATTTAACTCTTTGTATGGTGCATACTTACTGAAGTGACTTTAGCGTCTATACCAGAATCATACCTCATTCACCTGATTTTTTTTTTTTTTTTTGGGTACGCGGGCCTCTCACTGCTGTGGCCT